CCCAAAAGATGGATTTGGTCAATAAAGGCACTGGTTACCATGCTGACATAGGTTCAGATCTTTGTTCAGTGATTCAGTGATTGACAGTTGTGATTGACAGTTTCTCTAAACAGACCGTCGGAGCTTCAGAAGGAGATTGTAGTGTTTTTATTCCATTTCTGTGTTATTTTACCACAATAAAATGAGTTCAGCAGTAAACTATACATTCTGATCTACAGGATCTGGTGAAAAACTGTTTATTCTGTAAGGTCAGGGCTTTATCGGGCTTAATTAGTTTGCTGATACACGCCTAGCCATGACGGGACAATACTGGTGATCACTACCTGGCAGTAATTCTTTTTATTGGTCTTAAATAATAATTAGGAAGACAAAACTAATGTTAGCCCATGCTGCCCGTCTCCACATTGATCTCCTGTAACATTGAGCATGCTATTAAGTTAATCTACTGACTTTGCTGTTATAAAATATGAATGTTCTACAAACCAAATCTTATAGAACAAATATAGCTGTAAATGTTATATATTATTTCTATACATCATTTATCATTGGCTTTTCATTTGAAAACTCCTAATAAACATTAAAATGAATGTAAAGTCCTCTTTGCCAATTATTAAGACATGGAATAAACCAAATTAAAACGGAGGCAAAAAAAATGATAAACAATAAATAAGTGATGTTCAGTAGCTGGTAGACATTATTTAAGTATTAATACTAAGTTTATTGTACAGATTGCTAAGGATTATTTTATATAGCGCAGGGATGACACGTGTAAATATCCTGTAGATATTTAGAATTCTTGCTGTATTTATCTTTTAAACGCACGATTGTTCCCGCATGGCAAATCGTTATCTATGGTGTGTAGGCTATATTTTGGGTCTTGTTGATTGCCAAGCAAAAATAAAAACCTTTTTAAATATGTGTTGTTCATAAAATATTGTTCTTATTTTACAAGTGTCATTTCTATCACTGTGAAAATAACAAATACCAACATCCGGTTATAAGAATTGTTTTTTGTGTGCTCTTTAGTCTATCTCAGGCTAGAGTGTATGAAAGACCATTTATTTTGCAGTCCAACATATATTGTTTTTATTAAATTGTAACAGCTGACATAACACCGTTTTTTTTTTTTTTATAAATCGTGCATTATGTGTTTTTAAATGTAGTTGCTTATATTTATATTAGCAAGCCTTTGTTATAGTGCAGATGGGCAGTCAAATGAGAAGTTTGGGGGGCATGGTTGATTTGACATACAAGCGTTTGGTTAGAAGCTCAATTCCGTGGCTATGCCTCTGGCTCCATCATGCAGTCCTTCTGCGCATGCCCAGGCTCCAATTTCAGCAATCTTTTGTGACAGTTTGCGCCTGCCACGAGGCATTTAGAGTTTGATTTAGAGATCTGTGCGGGACTAAATTTTGAATCCCGCTCCTGCCAGGTTTTAGCCCAGAACCCGACCGCTACCGCTTATATTCAGCGTTTGTTCTTCTGCTGCCCACCCTGTCCCATTTTCTACCCGCCACGCCCGTTCCCACTAACGAGCAGGGGGAGAACAAAACCAAAAACCACCCAGCTATAAAGAGTCCAGACAGCCTATAACAAGAGGTCTGTATACACACACACACACACACACACACACACACACACACACACACACACACACACACACACACACACACACACACACACACACACACACACACACAAAAACACACAAACACAAACACACAGCAACAAACAAGTTAAATGCAGCATCACACACATACATACGAGTGCTCGCTTGCTCAGGAGTCGGGAACAATATTGTTAGACCGCCCGCTCCCATCCAAAATTAAACCAGTTACCCAGAGCTCATGCACTTTATTCTGAATTTTAATCCTGCGAGGTTCGAACTAGGAGGTTTAAATTTAAAACAAATATGATAGTATTGGGGTTTTTTATACTACGAGTATACATTTTTACCGGTTTTTAATAATCTTTAAAATATCTTTTAATAAAAAAAGGAACTCATAAAGGTTCTGGGCCACTTGAGGAAGACTAAATAGTTGTTTTTAATTTTTAAATATAAACTTTTCAGTTTTGGATGAACTATACCTTTAAATAAAATCAGGGCCGGCCCATGGCATGGACTGTAAGGGCAAATGCTAAGGGGGCTGTACATCCAGGGTGGCACCAGAAATGAGCGCGGTTAAGTTGGTTTTGTTTTCCATATTCCTGACACATTCAGTTATAGACGGCAATAAATCAAAAACTTCTTACCCTAAAAAGATCTAAAGTGTTTCCAACAAAAAGACAAAGCTGGATATTTCACAGCTTTTTTTTTTTTTTTTCCCGCTCGACATTACAACCATGCTCTGTTTAAGCCCCCGCAATATGCATTCAGCCAGGAGAGCTCGCGCTGAGTGGAGCTCTCAGTAAGGGACCGTCGAAAAAGTGCTTATTTTTTTTCTGTTTTTTTCAACGTCCTGCATGTTTTATTTTAAACACAAGTAGTTTTCTCTTAAATGAGCACAAACAGTTACTAAAGTAGTCGAATGCTTCACTATAGATCTGTGCATTCTTACATTAACACCTCTGTTATCAAACCAAACACAATGAGAGATTCATTTGCTGCTCTTCACTAAATAAGTAAAGTAACTTTAATCAATATGCAAATACAAATAATTTCTGTATAGGCCATTGATTTTGATAGGCTAAACCTCTTATTTTATAGTCAATATTTTTTTTTATGTTTGCTATGTATTATATCATTTGAAGCTATTTGTTGTCCCATATTTTTTTTACATCTCAACTTATACAGACTGCTAATCAAAATGCTAATTCAAATGTGTAGATATTAAATCTATTCAGCAATAATGTTAATCGCATTGGCATATTTATCTGATGTAGTCGATTAAAAAGCTATTTAGTTTCTTATGACTGTACACTAACAGTGGAATTTACTGCAATGTGACGGGGCGCCACCTAAAATCTTGCCTAGGGTGCCAAAATGGTTAGGGCCAGGCCTGAACACAATGATCAATTCAAAAAAAGATGTTTGTAGCAGCAACTATAATGCAAAAACTTGGTCCCACTTTTTATTAAGTGGCCTTAAGTAATATGTACTTGACTAAAATAATTATTTACAATGTACTTAATGAGTAAATACATGTTTTCACATTGTACTTATTCTTGATTAAATACCTGCATATAATTATATCTGCAGTAATTTCTGTAATTACATTTATAGCTACGAATGGTACCTAGCACCCGGGCTCATCGCCACCTGGTGGCCTTAGGTTGACAAAGAACAGTGGGCAATAATAATTTAAGCTGATATATACAGTTAAATTCAGAATTATTTAGCCCCCCTTTACATTTTTTGTTTAACAGAGCAAGGAAATGTTCACAGTATGTCTGATAATATTTTTTCTTCTGGAGAAAATCTTATTTGTTTTATTTCGACAAGAAAAAAAGCTGTTTTTAAGTTATTATGAACCATTTTAAGGTCAAATAGCTTACAGAACAAACCATCATTATACAGTAACTTGCCCAATTACCATAATTTGCCTAGTTTACCTGATTAACCGAGTTAACCCTTTAAACATCACTTTAAGCTGTATAAAAGTGTCTTGAAAAATATTTAGTAAAATATTATTTACTGTCATCATGGCTAAGATAAAATAAATCAAGTTATTATCTTGATTAGGGGATGGGGGGCAACAGCTTGCTTTTCCATAGCAAAACTGAGGTTTGTCAGGCCACCACTGACACACCCTTCGATGAAAACTTTAGATTTTCACAAAATATCATTGGGAGAGTTTTTCAACTACACCTCCCTAATTTGGTTCTGAGATGATAAAATGTGTAGAAGTTTGTTATACTGTAAAACATGTCATGTCCTCTTGCCAGCAGGTGGCGCTATAACTGTATTTGGACATTGGCATGTAAACCTGTTCTGATCAGGACTCTTGGATACGTGTGGATTTTAAGGCAGATCAGACAATGCATGCCTGAGTTATAACAACTTCCTGTTTTGTGGCGAAACATCAAAGTTTGTGAGGGCGTCACGGACACGCCCTTCAACGAGAACTCTAGATCTTTTGAGTTTTCACTCCAAGAGACTTTTTTGTAGGTTCTGGCATGTTTGATGTGTGTGCCAATTTTCGTTCGTTTATGTGAAACATAGCTCAAAGGGCACTCCGTTAAATGTGCATAGGTGATGCTGTAGAGCCATTTTGCCACACCCACACCCCACAAACGTACATTTTTTCATAAGAAGAAGAAGAAGAAGAAGAAGAAGAAGAAAATTCTAATAGGGCCTACTGCAGGTGCTTAGTCCTTAATTACAATGTTGACCATCCCTTACACATTAACCCACCCATAAACCTACCACAACCACCATACTTGTCCCTAAACTGGCCCTTATCCCACCACAAGGCCACCACAAGTGTTCTGCAATGCATTACGAAAACATTAGGTACATTGTATTTATATTTTGATTCAAGTACAAAATAGTCAAGGCCACTTGATATAAAGTGGGACAAAAAAAAAATCTCAAACCAAGCATAAAGTATATGGTGACAATGAGTACCTACAGCCATTCAGATCTAATCTCCACAGTCAAATAGAATGATTCAAGCCCACGGTAAATGGTTTTATTAAATATCAGACAGATAAACATGTCCTTTTAAAAGTGGATAGGAGAAATAATCGCCAGCAAAACACTACCTTGACCTGAAAAATAATAAAACCTTAGCAAAAACGTCTATACAAGCATTAAACAAGCTCTTGAGTTTATTTATTTATATTTTACTGTCTGCCTTGCTTTTTTATTTGCTACTAGGTCACAGAAAATGTCCTTCCAATCTCCTTTGCATCAGGCAGATAAATATATTTCTGTCTGAAGTGCGTTCCTCAAACAGAATAAAGTCAGAGAGAAAGGAAAGTGTTTGCAGACAGCAGGTTTAGACCTCCCGCAATGCTCACGTCTCGGTGGATGAGGAAAAGGAAATGGATTTTTATACCTTTGAAATGTTGCTGGACCTGCTTGCTGAATGACCAAGCGGCTTCTCATTCTGTGGAAGAGAGAAAAGAGAAAAGTCTGAGTACAACATAACATTTACAGTGATTCCCATGAAACTTAAAGTACATGTTTCCTCAAACTGACCGCTGAAGTGTTTTTAATAACTGACTCTATACGGATGAAATATCTACACAGAAATAGCATAACACAATTATTGTGATTCAAGGACACGGCTGTGTTAATTAATGGCCTTATATTTTCTCAGCCGGTTAATTCCACACTTAAGCACTGAGAAGAGATGTCTTTTTTCCTGCTGTATATTATTTATATTAATGTAAAAGAGCTGTTATATTAATGCAGCTTTTTTTCTTTGACAAACTCATTCGTTTACTGCTTTGCCTGCTATGAATGTAAATCAAATTAAAGCACTTTTGAATTGAAGACAGACTGATTAAACGATTGATATTTCACCAGTACAGGACACTTGTCCGATTAACAAATTATAATGTAGTTTCTAAACAGGTTTGTTAATGGATAGTAAGTTATTTGTTTTTCAAAGTAAGTTATGCATAGGTAAATCAATTCATTTTACATATTCTTGCTGTTCTTGAGATGTACTACTTTTAAATCCCCTTTTATTCTTTTTATATAGCAGAATGGCATGTTAAATTGATTTTATTAAAGTACACATATCAGGAACCATTTAAAAATGTACCCACTACGGAAAAAAATTCAAAGCAATACTTATGTCTTTTACAAATCAATGATGTCCATTCATTTGTTTATTTTCAGATACGTTTCATATTTTCTTGTTTCATGGTGTCAGGTAAAAATAGAACTTAAAAATAGAGATTCTTGTTCTACTTTAATTTAATCTAAACTGGAATCTGCATAATATAAGACACAAAGAAAGGCTGAATTGTCAGCAGCCCAATATTTCAATGTCACAAGATATTTCAGAAATGCGACTGTCTGATTTGCTCAAATATCAGGGTTTTTTTATTAGTAAAAAAAATATATTACTTCTACTTTTTGCTGTCAATGTCAAAAATTGTTGCCTAATACCTGTTCTAGGATACAAAACAGCATTTATATGAAATATTTTGCAAAAATTTAACTTTACTTTCATGTTTTGATGAATTTTAACCTTTGCACAAGAGTTTTAAATACTCCAGGTGACCCACTGTGTAAAATCCATTGTGTTCTAAAGTTCCCATGGGGACGCGTCAAGTTTATCTCGTGACCCACCAGCCCCAATGATCAATGTATATATCGTATTTTGTTTCTTTTTGCCCTTTTCTGTAAATATTGACAAGTGTTCTAATAATTTCTTGAAATTTCTGATACTGCGACTCTCAATTATGTGATCGAATATATATTTTGTCTTTTAAACAGCATAATAATAGTCATATTATTTGTTATACAACTAGTACCAGGTGCCACCATGTTCATTCTAGATGGGATGCAGCTGAGGATACTCAGTACATTTTTGTGGCAGTGTACACCCATAAAAAATATTTTCACATTACCATTAAGGTTGGGTTTAGTGTTGAGGTACAAGTAGGCACTAATAAAATACAATTAATGTGCAATTTAATAATTAATATAAATACTTTTTATTAACTTCTAAATGCAGCTGTATCCTTTCTAGCAATGACCCCAGGAAAGATTCGAGCTGCTGAATTTATGTTTATTCGTAATTTTCTTTCGAAATACATAAAGAAAAATTCTAGTCTCTGAAGACATCTTCATGTATTTTAAAAACCTCAAAATGGTATATTTTGTTTGTAGTTATGTGTATTTGAATATCTCAAACCTTAAGCTGTGCACCTCTTTGTGTATCTTAGCGCACGCCGTCAGATTTGAGTTTTAGCAGTTGATGACGTGTGCTCTGAATGTTCTAATCACACCGGTGTGATCATATGTTTCAGGCACCAGCCAAGGAGTGATTGTACATGTGAAAGGGTTAAGCATTCTTGTTGCTGATTAAGGACTTTACAAATTCTTCAAGAGGCATTTATGACCCTTTCAGGAGGAAAAGATGATTTATTATTTGTTATATGACAGGTAATGGGTGCCAACATGTTTAGTCTGTGCTGCAGGGGGAGGGTATGGTCTAGATGGGATACAGCTGAGGAAACTCACGTCAATTCTTGTGACAGTGTACAACATTAAATAATATTTTCACATTACCGTGAGGATTGGGATTATTGATGAGATAGGGGTAGACACTAATAAAGAATAATTAATACGTAATTAAATAAATAACATAAATACTTCTTGTTAACTTCCATCCGCAGCTGTATTCCTTCTAGCAACGATCGCATGAAGGTTTCAAGCCTTTAAAATGGTATCTTTTGTTTGTAGTTATGTGTATTTGAATATCTCAAAACTTAAGCTGTGCACCTCTTTCTGTACCTCAGCGCACGCCATCAGATTAGAATTTTGGCAGTTGATGACATGTGCTCTGAATGTTCCAATCACACCGGTGTGATTGTATGTTTCAGGCACCAGCCAAGGTGTGATCGTAAGCGTGAAAGAGTTAAGTAATCTTGTTGCTGATTAATTACTATACAATTTCTTTAAAGAGGCACATATGATCATTTAAGAGGGAAAAGATGATTTAAATAAAAAAGCTTTCCCTTAAAGGATCTTTAAAAACTCTAAACCTTGAAATTTTCTTAGATTTTTTTTTCTTCTTTTATAACCAAATATGACTCAGTTGTGGACTTGAAAGCTTCATTCACCTAACTAATGTAAATGCCTACAGCCTTGCATAAAAAACCCAACAGCGCAACATTCAGAATAACAACAAAAAAAGAGAACCATCATACACTAGTCTAGCATTTCCAGTCCTGTGTGAATTATAAGGCAGAAATTGTACTAATATCAGTGCATGGCACAGCAAAGCTGTGCAACAAAGAGCCCTTTGGCACAATGTGGCATGATTAGCGAGTGGGTGAGAGTGTGAGAGCTCATTGTTTTCTCTCTGAACTCATGTGCGGCAGCAGAAGGACATACTCTTCATCTTTAATCGTTCCTGTGCTTTTTTACTCCTGTCTCTGTTACTATGGAAATGCCGCGGAGGAGATCTGGTGCCAAATCCCTGCCGGTTACTGCCGTTCTGTTATTGACGAGAGTTTCAGCCACGCTACAAATAACAACAGTTCATCCAAAGTCATCTTTTGTTTCACATGAAGGGATGATGCTCATTTTCACACAAAGTCCATAGGTCAAAATGATTCAAATCACAGGATTAGCTGGTGCTGTAGAATAAAGGTATTTACTAAAATCTACTGTATTTGTTGCAATCCTTGTTTGGAGTTTTTCCCTAATTACTAAAACTTGTTAGGGAAAACTAAAATAAAGTAAATACATAATTCTAAATAGTTGATAAGTAGATTCCAAATTACAAATATTGAAACTGCAAATCATGCTAATAGCTAATCATGCTTTTTAGTAGATATACTAGTTTTTATTAGTTTCTACATTGTGAAATTGCTTAGTTTTAGTTTAGTTTTTATTAGTTTTAGTTTTTTTTACATTAAAATATTTATTAGGTGCAAAATACAAAATCATCTGAACATTGTATAATAACTCAACCAACAATATATTTTTAAAACCTGTATTCAGAGGACACAAACACTAGCATCTACCTATCCTCAAATTCAAATACAACAGCCCACAAGATAGCAGGTCTAAGTACTGTTCAATATGTTTGCAAGGATCTTTTGTGACAATCCTCCCCTGTTAGGGCTTAACATACCAAAAATAAGTAGTCAGCAATTATAATGTCAGTCAGTTAAATCACCATGATCTGAAAAGTTTCTTAAAAGTAACGTTTTGCAACCCAACTGAAGCATGATTCACTTATTTAATTACCATTACCACTTTCTGTTGTGAAAAAAATGTACATTTCACCAGATCCTCTTATTTAAGCCCTTGGTTTACCTGCACTGCAGTAGTTCAAGTTTAGTTCAGTCACAACAGGCTGTCATGTACTGTTTGTGTTCAGTTCACTGAATCACACGTGCATTATTAGGAGTTCACTCGTTCTCAAATCCGATCTCAGTGTACTGTTCTATTAACCGAATAACTCAGGAAATTGGTTTATTTCGAGTCAGAGTCAGAGGTGCTCTAAGGTGCTGTTCGGCTCAAACACCTGGCGTAAAACTGGCATGGCGAAGTAAATAGATTTACTTTTAAAAGGATTATGTATTAAATGCATTTACGAATAGGAAAACGAAGGATGTTTTCGCTTTAATTTTAGTTAGTTTCAGTTAGTTTTGTAATTACACAATAGTTTCAGTTAGTTCTAGTTTTTTTTTTAGTTCAGTTAAATGTAAATACTTTTTCAATTCTAGTTTTCGTTTTTCCGTTTGTTTGCTTTAACTATAATAACCTTGGTTGAAAGAAACTCCCAGAAAGAACTCGAAAAAGTAACAAAAATATTTTCATTCATCAGGTACCGATGAAAATATACTATAGTCATTTATAGCAAATATTTAATCAAATAAAAAAGCTTTTTTAACCATACTGATACATGCAATAGAGATAATATGGCTGCGCTATCAGCCAAAACATGGCTAGAACTGGTTTATATGTATAGGCGATATGTACTGCATTGCCAAAAATTATTGAGGTCATGTCCATGTGTTGTGCGATAAGTTAATATATTGATTATTGTAATAGGCCTAGTTATTTATATTTTAGAATATGCTTTAAGCTATGGCCAATATTGTCAAAATAAAATAATAAAAAACAGGAAGAAAAACAGCTAGATAATTATGTACAGCAAAAACAAAATGTCAAATATAAATACAGCAGTAGACTCAAAAGGCTAACAATACTATGGTATAATTGCCTTAACAGTGAACCATTTATGTTATATGAGAAAACAAGTAGAAGTCAGGTCAAAGTTCTCCAGAGAGACAGAAAGTTAACTGTAAAATGTTATCTCTCTCTCTCAGCAGACTCAACTGTGTTAGTCTCTTATCTCTCTGTGTGACACATCAGGGCTGGCAAAGCTCACACTAGACAACCTGGTCTTGC